GTACTAAACACATCGAAATATATGTCCATCAAATTAGAGATAACATCAGTAAAGGGTTAATAAAAATTGTAAAAATCTTATCTTCCGAACAGCCTACCGGTATCTTTACAAAAGTTCTTGGTATAAATCATCATAATTACTTATGTTCTAAGTTACGAATGATTAATTTATTCAAACGTTAAGATTGAGGGAGGTTGTTAAAATATATGTATTTTCTACAATCTTAACTTTTGTTTGTTATTTTTTAATTGAGGGACTAAAATTGTCAAAGCTTAAAGTTGAGGAATCTGAAGATTCAAGTTGGAGGACTGCGCCTCGTTTATTGGAATTCTTCAAGGGTAGCGGAGCACTTATTCAACATCTTGAAGGACCTTTTTTGGCAATTATCAATTAATATTTATTGATTCGTATTACCCGTTTTCTAGTCATTCGGTTCATTTTTTTTCTCTTTCAAACATATTCTTCTCTCCAGTTCATGAGTTGATTCTAAGAGTGTTTAATCTTTCAATGTTATGTTGTTAGAGATTCCATTTGTATTTTGTAATATTGTTCAAACTCTGTTATGATTGTATTGCTTATTCTTTTGAACACATTGTGTATTGTACAATGATGAATTTTGTTTTATTTAAAAATCATTTAACAAAATTAAGATAACTTATGATTCTTTAATTTATTTATAATAAAATTCCGCAAAATGCAGCGGGATGTAACATCATTTTAAAGTAGGGAATTTGAAATGACTATGTTATGTCATGTTTCATTTTATTCTCCATGTTACTTGATCAAATTTTAGGTTTTCTATAGTTTAAAATCACGAATCAAATGGTATAACTATGAATGTTAATTTGGTCTATTAGTTAGAGATTTTAAAATGGAATTGTTAGATAACAGTACTTTAAGACCTCTAAAAGTTGTTTGTTGCTTTTAAAGACCAATCTAATAATATTTGTGAATCCCAGATTGTTTAATCAATCATCATGATTCATCAAGAACACAAAAATGACAATTCAAGAATGTGGAAAGTAGATGAATATTGAGAGAAAAAGTCAAACTTGAATATTATCTTCAAAGCATCCTCTTACACACCCTAATCACAATTATGACAATCAAGCATCCTACTACTAAACAAATAAAGGACTAATCCTATTTATAGGACAAAACAAAACACAATTACGAAGGAGAAAATACAAGATTGAATACAACACTTAAGCTCAAAAACTCAAACCCAACATTCTCCCCCTTTGGATTCAAGCTTGAAATAATTGTACATTTTGTATCACTGAAGATTTAAGCAACTTTAAAATCTTCAAACCGTTCTTCAAACAATCTTCCTCTTTGGTTATAAGTCTGAATCAGCAACAAACTTCAGATTTGAATCATCAAGATATGATCTTTAACAAGCTCCTTCAAATAACTTTTTCATTGATCAGCAACAGAAATTGTTAACTCCCCTTAAACATTCTCCCTCTTAAATTGATAAAAAATTTATCACTTGAAAATCTCTTCCTTTAAGAACCAGTAAACTCTTTTAAGAAATGATCTTGACATTCACTCCCCCTTGAACATTGCAGCACAATAATCTTCAGCAAATTTTCAGCAAATATCACATTCACTCCTTGAAAACTTTAACAAATTCCCAATCTTCAGAAATGACGCAGAAGTTTTCATTCATTATTCAAGAATACTCCCCCTTACGATGTGATGAGAACCATTTACATCAAACTTGAAAATGAATGAAGTTTGAAAGTATGCCATCAATTCATAAAATGACAAGCAAATCTTTTCAAATTCACTTATACAACGAATGTACTTCATATATGAGATTTTTTAATGTTCATCTCACCAGGACTTCCATTCAATCATTGATAGCTTTGAAAAAAGATTATTTATGGATTTTAAAACAAAATAACAAATATTTTGTAAATTTATGCAGTGAGAAATGATAAAGCAATTAATGCTTCAAATTAGGCTCAAAAAGATAAACAGTGTGGACTACACAAATTTATCACACTCAATTTGTGATAAAAAAGACTTGAAGGGGGGAGGAGACATATATCCTTCTTTTTCAATATCAATTATCTCCAAATGGGAAACTGATAGATTATGAGCTACGTGCCCCAAATGTTATTGAAACACTTATCTTTTGAGAGATAGATGAGTAGCTGGTGGGCTTATGACAAGAGTTGGCTTAGACTTTGCCTTTTTCAATATTAGTCGTCAAAGAATTGAGAACTAATAGATTTTGTGGTTTGCCTGGATTATAGAAGATAGAACAGGATTCTTTTAATCTTTTAATTCTGACACAACTCTCATCAATTCTTTTAGCTCACAACTACCCCTCTCATTTTTATTTTAAGCTCTGCACACAAAATGAAACTATATTTAGTGAAGGGACTGATAGTTTCATTTTTATTGTGAGAGGAGTAGTTTCTGAAGAACAGGTCCTGAACTAGGTGTTTAGAAGCTATATTCAGGCAAATTATACACTCTATCTACATCAGTGTACCATATAAATGATATTTTCACAACAGCACACCATATGACACACCTGCAAAACAAATTAAGTAGATTTTGGTACCCAAACTAACATGGGTCCTATTTTGTTAGTACTGGCTTGAGGGATGTTATAATTGCCATACCATCTGTTCTTATCAGACAATTTCTTTTAAATTAGATATACAGTAAGAACCATACCAATCATTATCATACCTGTTATTCTCATACCAGTTCTCATAACTGGTATAACCATTCTAACTGTTTTTATACCAGTTGTTCCCATACCATCTGTTGATCTTCTTGTTGACAAAATCATTTGTTCTGCAAGTTGAGCACCGAATTCTTCTCTTGCTAAGACTGATCAAATGATTAGTAGACTTCACAATGCAAGGAAAAACAGTATCAGTCACAAACGATTTCTTATTATCAACAGATTTATGAGAAACAACAGAATCAGCTTTAATCACCCAAACTTGTTTTACTTTTGATAACTTATTGTTTGATTCAATGACATAACCTTTCTAAAACTGATTTGAAATATAATACTTGTTCTTTGAAACAATTGATTTAAGACTACTTGAATAACTATTGGATTTGACACTAGAACAGTAATAAAAGCAGGTTTTACACTTAGATTGAGATCCAGTTGAGCTTTCAGCACTTGATTTAGAAAATTCTTTTATTTTCTTAAGCAACTGATCTCTCTCTTTAGTAAGTAAATCATTGCTTTTTAACTTCAGATCTTATCTTCATCTCAGCTACAAGTTCTGTCGTTAAATCACATAATTTCATTGAAGCTTCAGAAAACTTACCTTCCAAATCTCTTCTCAACTTCTCAAAATCTTTTCTTTCTCCTCAAACTTTGTTCTTTCTCCTTCCAAACTTCCCTTATCGTTATCTGAAGCAATGTCAAGCCATTTATGTTTCTCAGTTAGCTCTTTAGCAATTGTTGCATTCTTTTTCGCAGTATTCTTCTTTTCCAAAGCAAGAGCTTTTCTCTCCTCACTTAAAGTTTTCTGCTTTTCAGCAATGCTATCAAACATTTCCAGATGTTTTTTTTGGACATTCTTCCACACGCTCTTTCTTCTCATTATCAAACTTGGCTCTTTCCAAGATGATAATTTGTTCAAATTTTGAGATTTGCTTTGAAAGCTTTGTAGTATTCAACTCTAAATCTTTTATTTTGCTTTCAAAAGTTTTTCTTTCAGCACCAAACTTTTTCTCAGTCTCTATCAGATTATCCTTCTCCTTTTCCAGTAACTTCCTTTTAACAAGGTCAATTCATTCTCAGCTTCATGAATTTTCTTTGTCAGATCCTCATTTTTTTGAATTCGCTTTACATTTCTAACCTGCATATCAGAAGAAAAACCTTTATGAATGAATTCATCTATTTCTTCTCTTAAAATATTCTTATGTTCAACAACCATCTCATACTCTTTTGATATACTTTTAGCCCAATCTAAATTTGCATGATTCTCATAAAACACCTTTACATACTTTTCTTTTTGTTGTTTCCGACTTTTCTCTAAATCAGAAATTCTCTCTTTTAAAACCTTATTTTATTTCTCAAAAGATAATGCCATTTGAAAATTTTCAAAAACAATTGATTAAACAACAAAGATCTCTGCAGTTCAAAAGTTTGATTAACAAGTGCACACACAAAAATTCTCAAACTGATGAAAATCAGTCAAATCATAAAATGTTTATCCAGATGAGGAAATAACTGATAAAATCTCTGAATGAATTTTCCAGATATGGTCTCTAGACAAACAAATCAATTCAGACAACAAATCAATCAAACAAATATGATCGGATTCACAATATGAACATTCAAAAAATATAGTCAACTGTGTTAACCAAAAAAAATATGGATACTTTGTGATCAAATCAACTAACCAAATACTGTCAACTTGTGATCAAGTAACATTTTATGTTTGACCGGATTAGTTAAAGCTTACAAATCATCACCTTCAACAGTAACCGGATTAGCAATCCCGACAACACATGCAACATCAAAAACTATGATCGAATTCGGTTAACTTGATTGTTCAAAGATCGAATAGTTTTGAAAACATCAACAACCGGATATGATTATCTAATAGTCAAATGTAGTCAACGGAGTACATCTACAATCACCAAAGCATGTTTGGCCGGATAGACAATCCAGACAAAGAAACAACTGCAATGCAGACACCAGCAGCTACAATATCATTGAATTCAAAGTTAATCTATACACATTTGAAGGAACAACCGGATTGGCAATCCAGACAGAATAGTGAGTATGCAAAATCAGTAGTCATCCATGTTTGACTACCAATCAAATACAGTCAACTTGGATACATGCAACAATTGAATTAAAATATAATTCCTCAATAATGTCCGGATAGGTAATACGATCAATATGCATAAACACAAGCAATCCATGAAAAGTATCACATGCAAAACATTCAACAACCAATCATATTCGGTCAATATGCACAAACACCAGCCAAACACGGTCAACAATGTACACCATCAATAGTATGTTTCCTGACTTGTTTATTTTTGAAAGAAATAGATCATGCTTCATTGTTGATCGATATACTCCAAATAGTAGCGACGGGAGGTTATGGAATTGGTCTTGGTTGGAGAGTCCAATCATTAATAGCAGACTTTCAGATAAAGTTACCAAATTACAAAATTTAGTAAGGAATTATGAGTTCTCTAGTGGTAGGGATAAATGGATATGGGTGGGGGATAGTACTGGAATCTTCACTGTCAAATCCATGAGAGCTGTTTTGGATGAGAAACTTAATGGTAATGTTGTGGGGCAATCAATATGGTGCAAATGGCTTCCGATAAAAATAAATTGCTTCTTATGGAGACTTTTTCTGAGGAGAATTCCTACAAGACAGAATCTTGGTTCTAGAGGTATACAATTGCAAACTGATTCTTGCCCGCTTTGTGGAAGAGAAGTGGAAACGGAAGAACATCTTTTTTACGTCTGTGAAAAATCAAAAGAGATATGGAGATGGGTCGAAAGATGGTGTGATATAAACTCTGGCAATCATTCTTCTCTTGATCAGATTGTGGTCAATCTGATTGAATGTGCCAAATCGAAGAAACAAAGAAAAATGATCGAGGCACTTATCGGGAGCATTCTTTGGTTTACATGGAAGGCAAGAAATGATGTGATGTTCAATAACAAAAGGTTCTCGTGGGAAGCAGTGATGGTGGATTCTCAAGCTATGCTTTTTACTTGGATTAAATGTAGATCTAAATGTAATATTGATTGGTCTAGATGGGGTTGTAATCCGTTAGCTTTGTTTTAACTCTTTTGTATCTTTTCTAGCGCCTTGCTAGTTTTATTATAGCTTTTTTAGGGTGTTTGGGAGGGGGTGATGGCCATGCCAAAACTCTTTTCCTAATGCTCTTTCTTTTTGCCGTTCAAAAAAAAATCAATAGTGACCACATTTAATTGAATACGGTCAAGGTTGTAACCAGATTTGGTTGAATACGATTAAGGGATTTGGTTATCATGCACAACATTCATCCATGTAAAGACATCCAACACTTGCATAATGTTCATCATTCGTATACGATCAAGCATGCATACATTCAACATTCATATTCATCTTCAAACACATCTTCATCATCCAGATTTGAAGAAAAAATTTCAAAAAAATTAACCAATCAAAATCACAAGATGTTTGAATATTATGATCCTAAACAAAATTATGTACAAGATTAACAACAATTCATGACCAAACACCAAAAAATGAAGATTTTAGATGAACATTATCAAGAACACTCGAGAACGCTCAAGAACACATGAAGATAAATCCAAAAAAAAAATTCAAATTTTCAGAATTTTGTGCAAATTCTTAACCAAAAATTTCTGCAATCCAGCTCTGATACGAAATATGAATCCCAGATTGTTTAATCAATCATCATGATTCATCAAGAACACAAAACTGGCAATTCAAGAATGTAGGAAGTAGATGAATATTGAGAGAAAAAGTCAAACTTGAATATTATCTTCAAAGCATCCTCTTACACACACTAATCACAATTACGACAATTAAGCATCCTACTACTAACAAACAAAGAACAAATCCTATTTATAGAACAAAATAAAACATAATTACAAAGAAGAAAATGCAAGATTGAATACAACACTTGAGCTTAAAAAACTCGAACCCAACAATATTTTAGTTCAACTCTTATATCCATGAACAAATATTTTAAAAATTCAATTATCATTAAGCCAATTAGAGCAAAAGCTAAATTAGAATAATTATACCCCATGGGATTAGCCATTTACAAGCATAACCAACATATGTGAACACAAACACACATAGCACAAAGAAAGAATTGAATCATATGAATTGATAGTGAAAAGAAAAAAGTGGTTAATGCTGGTAGGACTTTGGATCAAGTGCAAGTTTTCTGTATAAAGACTCCAAAGCATCAGCAGAATGGGAGTAGGGAACAGTTGCAGCCAGTGGCTGAAAATATCTATTACCAACAAACCAGTAAAGTTCCATTTCAAATTGCACAGGGTATACTTGAGAGCTTTCGTCCAGTTCTCCTGTTTTGTTGAAACTTTGCACGATCGAATAGCTTTCCGCTTTTTTGTTCTCAATAATGTTAACAAAAATATTAGCATTATTTCAATGAGTATAACTTTTCTTTTCAATCTAAATAAGTTATATTCAAGGCTTCACTACATTGCCTAAAAGATGTTTTATATAAAAATTGAGATATATATAAATATCCTAACATTCAAACTAGGAAGCCTTGATTTACCATGTATAAAAACATATTTTACTTGTATGGAAGCTTGAAACATTTTTGAGGTGATATGTTTTTTTTTTTTTTTTTTGTTATTTGAGTTTGCAAACCCTGCGAAGTCTTTAAGGCCAAACCTATGTCATGGTCAACATAAAATTTGGAATGGATACACTTGACGATATGAATCATTTGAAAAATAAACATATTCATTTTGCAGCAGATCTTTTACAAACCAAAATAATTGATAAGCAAATGCAAGTCACCAACTCAAGAAATTTGTATATTATGCTTACAATATAAAAGTATGCAAATAATTTCAGTCTAAGAAACCATCCATATATGTGGTGAAATCAATCATAAAAAGGGAAAATTTGAAATTATTACACAAACATATGATTCCAAATAACACACTTGATAGTTTAATCCAAATTTTCGTTTTGAAAAATTACATTGATTAGTCAACAGCCAGGTTTTTTAGATAGTTTTTCATATTCGATAATTATTGATACCTTAATAACCATCTATATAGAAAACAAAAACTAAGAAGCAATCGATACAGAAAAGGAAATTTTAGAAAAATGGAACTAATCGATTTCAATAGCAATTGATAGAAAAACCAATTCCAACCAAATCACAAAGAGAGGCCTGTCTTCAGTGTGGAAAGGAGTAGGACAGAAAAATCGATGGTAGAAAACACAATATGTGTTATGTCTCTAAAGAAATAATTAGCAGGGTAATTGAATAATAACAATGATGTTAGCTCTAATATTTACTTTATGTAAAAGTATTCTGCAAGTGTTGACAGAAGGGTCTCTTCCACAGAGGACCAGCAACAGAAGCTGTTTCATCGTGCAAGTCAAGAATGACAGAACCTCTGATGTCCCTCACAGAGGTTCTGGAAAATGGTCCTCTGGCAATAAGAACCTACAAGTCAATTTCAAAAGAGCCTCTGAGATGGCTCACAGAGGGTCTGCGGATTCGTCTTCTGTGAAGATCCTATTCTGCTGTTTTTCAAAGGTTGTTAGCTGCATGTGCTTCTCACGTGACTAGATTTTAATAGACTTTATTTGGACGGCTTAGATGATTTCTCTTTCTAGATCTGTCAGTAAGGTCGTTAGGGTCTAGTATAAATAGCAGCTTAGGCCTTCAGTGTGCTTCCGTATTGTAATCGTCTATATTTTCAATCAATTGAAAAACCTTTGAAGCTATTCTATTGCGTTCATCTTCTTCATATTAATCTATGTGTTCTTGGTTAATTACTATGTTTTGTAGTTATCATTGTTTCCGCTGCACTGTAATCGTCCTAGAGATCATTCAGAGTAAGAGTTCAAATACCAAAGCTGAATTTACAGGTCCTAACAATTGGTATCAGAGCAGGAATTGAATTCTCATTCGATTAATTCTGTTTTTGGTATTAATCTGCATTTTATAGAACACCAGTCTTCTTCATTTTACCCTGTTTCACTCAATTAAATCAGTTTCATCTTATTCCTATTTTTCTCCTTCTAATTTCAATGGCGAACTTGGCCAATACCTCGTTCATGAGCACTGGTTCTCAATCAAAACCTCCCACACTTATTCGTGAGGAGTATCCGCAATGGAAGGTGCAAATGATTAACTTTTTGGAGGGAATTCACCCAAGGATATGTGAATTTCTCTACAATCCTCCTTATGTGCCAATGAACTTAATTCCAAGAGTTCCTGCTACTGGCACAACCCCTGAAATTCCTGAACATTACGAGCCAAGACCTGTTGCTAACTGGAGT